AGCTGGAAGTGATGCTTCACGGACTGAGAAATTGCTTTTCGATTAACTTGAATGCAGTCAAAGCCGCGACTTGCGGCAGGTGTTAAGTGTACGGAACTACGCCGTGGCGAGCCCGAAAACTTCCAGCGCTCATCCCAGCGCGCCACGGAGGGCAGTTTCTCCAGCAACCGTAGTATAATTAAACAGCAAAATAAAGGGTAGCTTTTTTTTCGATTTTACCTACTATTGTTTTTAATGCCGATATTCCATACTGTAAATATACGCACTTTACGTCACGCTTTCGTACTGTTCATGTCCTTGCCCCTGAGCGCAATCGCTGTCGGGGACGAGACAATTCCGACAGTCACATTGGCCACTGTACGGTAGGAGCTTCTACTGTTCAGACCAGCGTTCCAACATGGCTATCCGCACGTTGATCGATTGCACGTAATCCCTCAAGTGGTATTAAACTTTTTAATGTAAAGCGGAATGTCAACCTGCGACACCCCGCCCCCTCCGATCACAACCCGACCAGCGGCATCAATGCCCAACAGTTTACGATCTCATCTTCTTGTTACACCACTGATACGCGAACACATGGTCACATCGGCGATAATTCCAGTCTTCTTTTCACAACCCAGCACTGTCATCACGATGTTGCAGCTATGTTGCTGACACGCACAAACACAAAACCACGTTGAACGCCGGTTGCACTCGGCATCGGAAAACAGAACCGAACTCAGGGGGGAAGGCACCCAGGCAGCCGGCAGCAAAGCCTGCCTGTCTTGGACGCAGTTCCTGCAGTTTCCATAACGTCGAAAACGTCGACACAGTTTTGCGTGCTTTCGCTACTGTAGTCTGTAGTGCTGCAGCCTGCAGTGGCTGTAGTTCCGTCGTTCCGTGCCGCGCGAGTCACGCAATCCGGAGACGGCCATCCCCCAGTGTACGTGGCGCTGCTGGCACTGCTCCGAACTTCGCTGTTTCTAGCGGCTTCGTTTGCTCGTTTGATAAAATTAGTGATAAAAACGTCAATGCAACCGAAATGTTCTGGACGTTTAAACTAGAAGATGGAATTACAGGCGGCCTTCGCTGCTGCTGGAGCTCAATCAACTCAACAGCTATTTATTAAACAACGCGCGCGACCTGCTCGAAAAACGAAACCGAAAGACGATGAGTCGGGAGGGCGAAAACTTTCTCCCGTCTGCCTGGAGAAGGAGAAAAACATTTCGTTCCTCTCCTTTTCTCGTGTCCGCTTGGGGGCGCGTCGGTAGAAGGGAGGAAGGCGCGCCGTTGCTACTTTTTTCCTCCATTTTTTCTTAGAGTGCAGCGGCCCAGGTTTGGACGGCGAGTTTCCCAACTGAGTGTTTTAGTAACGTTGAAGGCAACCCAGCGGAAGCTGATTGCAATAGCGATGGTCTTGCGCAGTCTCCAAGAGTCTCTTTATTTCTTTTTTTAAAACGAAATTAATAAGCAACTTAATATTATAATAATATTAATTTCACTATAATAATGTATAAAAATTCACAAATATTTAGTCAATCTTAGGCTTTATTTAAACCTAGCTTAGGTTTTATTTTCCAGTGTAAAGCCGAAACTATCTAAAGCAACGCTTCCTTCATCGTATTCGCTTCCGTGCGTGTGAATGCGCCTGTGTTTGTGTGTGCGCGTGTGGATCCGTCCGCGTGCTTGTGTGTGCATGCGCCTGTGCTTGTGCGTGCGTGTGCGTCTGCGTGCGTGCGTGCGTGTGTTTGTGCGTGTGTGCATGCGTGCGTACGTGCGTGCGCGCGTGTATGTGTGTGTCTGCGCTCGCGCAAGCATCTGTGTTTATGCGTTCTATTGAACTGCGCGAGCAAGAACAATTGGATGTTACTGGACATTGTTATAAATACTAAAAGATTCATTAATGTTATTATTATTATTATTATTATTATTATTATTATTATTATTATTATTATTATTATTATTATTATTATTATATTGAAACATGTCAGGCGCGAAGCCCAGTGACCCTTCCTGAAGTCTGCAGTAAACGCTAGTTCATTGATTGATTAAGTGTTAATTTTGCCGGTCATGCTCTAAACAGATGCCAATCGGCCACTTCCGCAAACAGGGCGAACATCCGTTGCTCTTCTAAATATTGCGCTTCAAATGAACCTCGACAAGTTCGACGCCTTGATTGTCTCGATTTCAGCATTTTGATTACCAAGCTGATCCGTTCATTTACAGTACATACAGTTTAAATTCTGCTATAACCAGTTAAAATATTATATATATATATATATATATATATATATATATATATATATATATATATATATATATATATATATATATATGAACGAATATGTGCAGATGAATGAACCGTACTTATTCCAATGAATTAAAGAATCCATGTTTTCAGGAACCCGCCGAAAGCCAAAAACGGCGGAGCCAGGATTTGGACTCTGGGCCTCCCAATGTCCGGTCGGGTGTGCTAACCACTACACCACTCCACCATGGTGGAGTGGTGTAGTAATAAGTACGGTTCATTCATCTGCACATATTCGTTCATATCCTCCTCGGAGACCACGTACGATGACGTGAAGTGGCCGTGTTGTATATATATATATATATATATATATATATATATATATATATATATATATATATATATATATATATATATATATATATATATATATATATATATATATATATATAACTGAGAAGAAAAAACCTTAGTGGAAACAGCAACAATGGACGATTTAATCTTCGACGTTTCGGCCGGAGTCCGGCCTTCGTCAGGAAGCCCACGCCTTCGGCCTCCCGCCACCATGCCCGTTGTATATATATATATATATATATATATATATATAACTGAGAAGAAAAAACCTTAGTGGAAACAGCAACAATGGACGATTTAATCTTCGACGTTTCGGCCGGAGTCCGGCCTTCGTCAGGAAGCCCACGCCTTCGGCCTCCCGCCACCATGCCCGTTGTATATATATATATATATATATATATATATATATATATATATATATATTGCGGTATGACGACGATTTGCGCCCGCATAGCAGGCGACATGGAACTTATACAATGTACAATATGAAGCTTTTTGCACTTTAAGTGGAAAGCTCAAGATTTCTGTTTTAGGCAAAGGAGAGATTCGTATATGAGTTCGTCTTTAACGAAGTGGTCAATTTCGAAAACCGAACCCTCCCATCTTTTCTGGAGTGTTTCTCCGCAACACACCACATAAGTAAAACAAAATCGCATATTATTAAAAAAAAATTGCGACGAGTTTAACTGAAACAAGTTTTTAGTAACTGGAACAAATTTAGGCGGAACAGGGGATCAACCTGCTCCAAATTCACGTGTTCCATTTAAAAGAATCAATTATAGGAAGAAAAAAACAAGCGTTCCACTTAAAACCGTTTGATTCGCTAAAAAATTGCCAGGACTTAGTCGAAGTTAGTGGAACGGCAGCCTTATGTGGAACTTAACCGGAACCTAAGTGGAACAAGATAAAGAGTGTAGCAGCGAAAAACTGCACCTGAATTCCATCGGCAGCAGCGAAAAACGGCACCTCAATTCCCATTGGCTGAACGAAGTGGCACCTAAAGTCCCATTGGCCAAATGCACTCCAACACAGATGCTTCGTCACGGAAGCCGCTGGGGCGCTCAAGGTCAAAGCGGACGCGCCTCAGATATGAAACACAAAGAAAAGCGTAGCAATGCAGATGCATCGTAGCGGAAGCCATGAAGCCGGCGCGGCCGCCGCACCTGCGCAGTGGGCTATCGAGATGTCACCGCCGGAGCGCCTTGTAAAAAAAGACGTGGCGCGATGCTTGTAGGAATGCGCTGCCGTGTAGGAATGCTTTCGCATTTCTACACGTAAGCAGACATAAGTGTCTTCGTTTAATTTTAGTTGCAGATTTCTCGTGACCATGACCTAGATATTTAAACAAAACCATCCTCTTTCAAAATATATTTTTCTCTCTGTCCTTTTCGTGGGTGTGTCTTACCCTTGCGCTTACATAAAAAAAAGGTGAAAAAAATTGCGGGACGATCACATGATGTGATGCGTTTAGAAAGCGTCAGCCATGATGCTTGTTCGACGATGTGACGATGAAGATCGATTGGCATTGCGCCGATCGTGCGTCATACGATGATCTGATATTCAAATAATATTGCGTTGATTTAGCGTCGCTACGTTGCTAATGGATGAATGATTTTAAGGTCGTGATATGTTTTCCCGCCAAATTCAGAAGGTAAACTGGGTTGTTGCATTGGTCACGCGACATAATTTTAACTCTAAATTTAGCGGAGAACATGAATTTCTCTGTAACCCTGGAACGCCAGATCCCCTGACATCAATTTTTCGGTTAAATTTAGCGGAGAAACTGAGTTGGTTCATAGGTCACGTGACGTCAATTTTTTCGATAAATTTAGCAAGAAACATGAATTTGTCTGTAAGTCTCGTAACGTCAGGTTACGTGACATGAATTTTCTCGCCAAATTTAGCGCGGAAACTGAATTGGTGCATAAGACACGTGACGTCAATTTTTCCTTTAAAGTTAGCGGGGAAACTGAAGGCGTTTAGGCTCACACTGTCGAAATATCAGGGAACGAGCCACTAACAGCTATCGTTGTAAAAAGTCAAATTCGGAGGTTTTACGTGCCAAACCAACGACGACCATCTCGCACGCCCTAGCGAAGGACTGGCGATTCCTTTCGGTCACCTGGAGATTTTTTTAACGAGCAACCGAAATCTCGGTTACAGGTGCTTTTTGCGCATAAGCCTTCGTCAGATCGCGGGAACCTCGGCAGGGACTTGAACCCGCAACCTGGGGATCTGTAGGCCGACGATATGCCTCGAAGCCATCGAGACCACATTGCATAGAAGTTAAAGATATAGAGATAAAAAGAGGATGATTGAATGGCAACCTCCAAACTTAGAAATAAAAAAGAAACGTCAATCTACTCCCGAAGCTGCACTCCATGCTCACTGTGTACACGGTATGTGTTTCTCTGCGCAGTGCCTCCCGCAACGACGGTGATCACGGCGAGCCACACGGAGTTGTACTTCGAGGAGCCGGCCGAGTTCGTGTGCACGACGCAGGGTTCCCGGCCCGCGGCCGAGATCCGCTGGTTCCTGGGTCCTTCAGCCGTGGAGCCGCTGCTGTACCGCACCATGAGCGACGGCAACGTGACCACCAGCTACGTACTCGTGACGCCCACTAAGGAGCGCAATGGGGACAGGCTCAAGTGCACCGCCTTCAACAAGAGCCTGCGCAACAGCGAGCTCTCCGCAGAGACTCTGCTTGAGATCAAGTGTGAGTGCCCGTCGCCGCCCCAGCTGCGTCGCGTTTTTCACTCCTGGCATTGGCCCTAAAGCTTAAAAACGCGGGGCCTATCCAGTCTCGAGCATGCCATAATCTATCCACAATCAATTAAATTGCAAAATTAAGCAATAGGAACTCCAAGCAAATTGAACGAAGTTGGGATCATAATGCGTTTGTCAAGCTGCCGCTGAGTATAAGTACTTATCTTTGACGGACACTTTTGCCCACCGATTGCAGGCGGCCGCTTTCATCCCTTGGGAGCGTTATGCGGAGCGCAACTTTGTGTGCTTCTTGTGCAGGGGTTGCGGTGACTTCAGAACGCCTAACTCTGATTGGCTCTTTTAGAAAATAGTGCGTAGATGTGAAGGCGGCTAGCATGGAGGTCTATCCGCTGTATTTCCATCAGAGCCAATTAGAGATCGGCGTTCTGACGTCACTGCAATTCCGTGCACAAGAAGCAGACGAAATTGCGCTCCGTATAGACCCGTAGCTCTCAAAGTTTCAGCGGCGCCCATGTTGAGAGAAATTTGAATTTTTTAAGTCGCGTTTCAGTTGTGCGTCGCGTTGCGTCCCTTCCAACGCCTTGTTATTGCCCGGCACAGACGCTGGAGGACGCTTGCAGACGCTATGTTTATGAAAGTGGTTTGAGCATGATGGGACGATGGGACGCCGCTTCGCATCACCATTAAATGGTCGCGTCTCGCGGACGCTAGCGTACACGTGCCTCTTTTGTGGTCGCGTCTTGTGAACGCTAAACAACACCCCCTGGCAGAGAGAAACAGGCCTATCATTTCACGACCTTTCAAACTCACCAAACGTGCTCCTCACTCTCGGTTGCGCCTTCTTGGTTACTAAGGGCATTAAAAGCGCAGGGCTTCGAGAACCCCGAGCCTTTCTCCTTTTTTTTTTTAATATCACAACGTCCCCAATGAGATTTGTGCATTCGCCAGCAAAAATGTCGAAGTTCGAATCACGGGGCAAGAAGCGTAAACATAATAGGTCACGCAGTCATTTAGCGAAGTATAGCAGTCGAACCATTCTACGTACAATTAGTCATCTACACTAAACTTATACGTGACTCTACTATGTAGAATGTAGTCATCAGCTATTGAAGCACTGCTATCTAAGGTCCCTTACCAACGTCCAAAACTGAGAACACGCAGCTAAACACACGCCACTTTCATCGGCAGAGGCATGAGTTGTGCGTTTTGTCAAATTCTACGGGTGCACGGGTTATATTCCGCTGCATTCACCGAGTTTAACGTTGCTGTGTTGGTGGCTTTGGTGATGTAAATGACATCAAGTGTCCGCAATATTAAGCTGCATAATGAGGGTCTCGCTCTCATTCGCCGCTGCTGAACAAAAATAGTCACACGTGATGTGGTCAAATAGGGATCCTGTCCAGTGAGGAACTGAAACCACGTGTTTGGATACGCAAATGACCGGGTGCATTCATCAATACTACGATCTTAACATTCTTGGGAGAATTGTTTTCGACGACGTATTATAGTTCCTTGTTTTTTCACGTCACTGTGCAGCTTTCAGGTTTTGGTACATTGTTTCCGAACTGAATGCTTCTTTTGATGGCTCGGTGACTTTCACTGCAATTGTGTTCTGTGTTTGCTTAGACTGCGAGAAGTTGGTCAGCAACAATGGGCGGCGAGTGTTTTCGCTTTGTATGAAAAATCTAGCCAGTGCCTTCCGACTGGCAGCCTGAGGTTTTTAATGTACCTTACGCAATAGATATACATGACCGCACGCCGGTACTCTGCTCATACGGATAGAAGCGGGTGGGAATGGGGATTGAACCCAGGATCTCTGCGTTCTACAATGCGACCTTTCTCTTCTTCAACGAGAACGAGTTTTCGGAACAACGAGAAGCCATTGTTGTTCAGTTTGAACACGGGGCTTTGTTAGATTCGAACGCGTGAGGGTGTTGTAAAGCGCTCGTGCAATGTGGAGTAACAGTAACGATATGTTCCATTTCTTAAATGTAACGGGAACGAGTTCCTTTGTCGCAGATGAAACTTGTAACGGGAACAAGTTCCAAAAATCAAAAGGAACAAATCATCCGACCTTTTTTTTAAAAAAAAAAAAAATGTGCAAACCACTGAGCAGAGGCAAAAGCCCGACGCGAGCGCATGGCTTTCATATTTCCTTTCCTTTCACGAGCACTCGCGAAGGAAAAGCAAATTTGAAAACCCTCTGCCCGTGCCTACGCTTTTGCATTTGCTGCACACAACTCCTGAGGTAGAGTATAAGATGCGGTACTTTGGAAACATTCAGGGGCCCTAATCTCACTTATTAAAGATCACGCCACCTTCTGGGATCTGTCCTTCTTGCTTATTATGCGGATTTAGATCAAAAAGTTAGTTTGGGAAGTATTACAACACTTTAGTGCTTGTTACGTTATGTTCTACTTTAAAATCTGTCAAAATCTTTAAGTTTTGGTAATGACATTGCTACAGTGTGCGCTTTTAGTTTTCGAGGATTAGAATAACACACTGAATCAGAACCTGTCATTTTACCTCATTACCAAGAATCTAAAAAAAAAAAAAAAAAAAAAACGTCTGGTGCTTATGACATAAATATCTTTATTTTAGTAATTCGTCAAGTCCTCATTTGAGCTGTTTTTACCGTTTTTTAAATGTTATATTTTATACCAAGCTGTAAGTGATACGATAAAACTCGGATTTTAAGCGAATTCTCTATTTGTGCGACTAAATTATACCCATCACCTGCTTTCACCACAAGAACGCTTAAAACCAAACTGTATTTTGGTGGCATTCAACTTTTTTCTTTTTTAATCGTAGAGTTCTTGAGATAGATTTGTTCCGAGTGTGCCCTTTTTTTTAACATACATCCGGGTTGTTACTGTTAAATGTCGCTTTATCTTTATGAATTTACGCTGGCTTCGAACCATTACTCCACTTACGAACAGCACGTGCCACTTTACGCCTTTCCCAGGTTCGATATGTCACCTCACTCATGCCTAATATGCAGCCATGAGTGTACCGCCGAGTTGAAGGCCATTAAAGACTAAACAGAACTCCACCCTTCTATTTACAGCAATAAAACAAAATGGTTTATCAATATGACCGCATCATGAAATGCCACATATGTATGTGCACGATCGCAGAAGCGACAGCCACATAAAAACAAATTCGTTACAAAACCACATCGTAAAATAAAGGGGCCTAGAGTTGCACAATATCCTGAGAGTGGAGAAGGACTCCTGCCTTGTTAAGGCGGGGGCTTGTCTGTTACGAAATAGCTTCTCTTCTTTTTTCTTTTTTTTTTTTTTTTTTGCTCGAAAACAAAAGAGCACGTGTTTTACGAAACAATGACCTCGTCAGTCCTATAGCTCATTTTAGCTCAAGCTGGTCAACATTGAGGCGTTCCAGGTTCGATGCTCTCCAGGTTCCAAAACATTGCGTGTTTGCGAACGCTAATGCATCGGGAGTGCCGTTCTACTGCCGCTGTGGCAATCAGCCGCCAGTGCTTTTGACTAATGGATATCGCTTAATGGTATTGCTCAATTTCATGAGACTGGGTAACAATATGCACCACCATTACCAGCCTCAGTTTGAACTAATCGCGCTGACATGTAAAAATCTTGCTTCCTCGCGTGATGAAAGCCAAGAATGTATTACGATTGCACCAAATGAACGCATTTATTAGGCGACCTGGTCGCACTCTTATCTTATTGTGACTAAGAGTTCAGTTAGAACGCGCGACAAGTGATTAACTAAAGCATAATTCGCTTATTTTCACCTGGACTTGCCTTGTTGAAACTGCAATTTTGTGACTTTTTTTTCTTTTTTTAAGGAAGGGAAGTATCGGACCGTGGAAAGAAATTTTACTTACGTTGTATAATATGATTAAATAACGACGATATCTACTATTCTCTCGAATACACTTGTTAACTAACTGGTTTTTAATATAATAGGCGCGTCGTTCAACAAAAATAATTAACTTTAAATTTTAAAAAAATGCTCTACAACCTTGCTAATGCTAGCTGTAGTTTGCTGCAGTGATGTTGCTCTAGTGACGACAAGCACGCATCTCGAAATCGGAGTTCTGTGCAAACATACCAACTGCTTACTAAAATCCCAAAGAAAGCGTAATTTTCGGCAGTGTAGACGTGTGTTTTATTCCCTTTTAACAAATTATGTTTACCGACGAAAAAAAAAGATTGCCCCGACAATTAATCTTGGCAGAAGAAATATTTGTCGTCGCAGGTTACTCCGTGCGGAAGGCTACACGCTTTCGCTTCGCGACTTGGATAACTGAAACGCGCGGGTAACAAGCCGCCTGAAGCCAGCGCGTTGCTCCTATAGTTCGTTAGCAGAGCGAAAGAAACGCGGAGCCGCCGCTGGTAACGTCAAACTGTCAGGAACAAAGCGGCCAAAACAAAACAGGAAGGGGTGCTTCTAGACCCACGTGGCGCTGCGGTCGCGTGATCGTCAGCGGCGCGTGAATGACAAATTGCTCGGGGAATTCTCGAGGCGTTTGTCCTCTGGTGCGGTCATAATCTGTCTTCCGAGAATCGGAGCAGTGTGCCAAAAGCCAGGAAAGTAAAATGTTTGCGGCTTCCCGCAGACTCTTTGTTCTTGCGTGCAAACGGAATTCGGGCTTCTGTAGTGGTTTCTAAACGATTTGTTTTGGCACCGCAAACCACGGCGCAGAAAACAAAAAAAAAAAAAAGTTAGCGTCTTGGTTTATACCAGAATAAGAGAGTTTCTAAAGCAATGTTTTTCCAAGTCCCAACTGAAACGAGAGTTTTTATTAATATTTTATGAGAGTTTTGTTCTTTTACCGAACAGTTATCATGTCGACAGAGCTTGTACGCTATAATTCATACTTTTCGTGTGTGTGTGCGTATGTCCCTCAATTCTGAGTGTTTCTGCTTAAAGGGGCCCTGCAAACTGCAATCATATTTAGGCGTCTACCTTTTTTGCGGTTTCCACGTCTCTTGGGGTTCGGGCAAGCCAGCGGGCACGGAGAGAGTAACTAAAAATCAGTGCGTCATATTTTAACCGGACGACGC